CGCTCAGAGTTTCTCACCTGACGTTTCGGTCCTGACAGGCGACGGCGATGTGCGTCCGGCTCGAGTCCAGGTCCATGTCGTACAGAGTCGTCTTCTCCACCACGTGGTGACTCCTGGAGAACTGCAGGCCCTCCGAAGTCTGGACCACGACGAGTCGGAGCATGGAATCATGGGAAACAGACGGTAAACAAAACCAGTCAGGAGTTTAACCAAAAATGAGACTTTCCAGAAACAGAACAGGGCGACAAACAAACAAAAAAAATCAACCAAGACCAATAAAGACGTCAATGAATCGACCAATCAGAGGGTGGATCATCTGCAGGCGTGCACGAGGGCGCCTCACCTGCTCAGCTGTCTGGAAGTAGATGCTCTTGTCGGCTCCACAGCTCACGAGTCGAACCTCCGGGCTCTCACCTGCAGCACAGGTAACAAAGTGACATCGTTGGGAGAACACGACACACAGGTGCGTATGGGCTGAAGGGCGGCGTCCTGTGGGCGGAGCTGGGGTACCTGTGAACTTGACGGCGGTGATGGAGGCCGAGTGGTCATTCAGGGTCTGCTCCAGGCTGTAGTTCCTCTCCAGGTCGAAGACGTGGATGAGTCGGTCTCTGCTGGCCGACGCCAACAGCTTCACACCTGAAACGCCACAAATCGCGTCGTCACTCAGGAGCCGCGCCGCACTCAAGCCCACCCCCACAGAACCACGCCCAGCCAGCGGGGCTGAGGGCCTCTGATGGGTGGAGTCAAAGACAAACGTGCCGAGGTTTGGATTACTCTGAGGCGCTGCTGAGCTGCATCTTCACGTCCTCGCCGACTGATGCTTTCAGATTTAAACGTTTAAGCTTAAAGGCACACGGACGCAGACCGAGAACGATGGCGTGTAGAACACTCGCTGCGTGTAGAACACTCGCCGCGTGTCCCAGGACGTCCTACCTGTGGAGATGGGGGAGAACTCCAGACACAGCACCTCCGAGTCGTGAGCCTCGATCTTCACCAGCTCATCCAGGAACTGCAGCCCAAAGATCCTGAACACAGAAACAGAAACGAGTCAGCCGAGCTCGTCCGCGCGAGCCGAGCTAACCGAGCGCGCTCGCTTCTCACCGCAGGTTTCCGCAGCGGTCTCCGGCCGCCAGGTGCCGTCCGTCCGGGCTGATGCAGAGCACTTTGATCCCCGCCTTCCCGTCAGCTCCTGCTGCCTCCCCCTCTGCCTGCAGGTGCTGCGTGTTTTCCCCCACGTACAAGATCCTCAGCAGGTCCTGGGAGCAGACAGGAAGTCGTCAGAGACAAACAAAGAGTGTAATTTGGTTTTGTTACTGCCTCAGGCTCACGTTGCTGTAGAGGTTTGTGTGTGCGCCGG